TCATTAAGAATATTAGCATCTAATCTTAATATACAAAACTTAGATTATTGCGACATACAAAAAGTAGACCTACGGTTTCCTAACTATAAAAATTATTAATAAACATACCACATACCACATGAAATAGCATCACTTTCTTTTTGCGAAAGAAATAGCATCACATTTAATCATGCAATGACCAATTATGGTACAAACTTTTTCTTAATTAGCATATTAAGAACTTTTCGCATGTCAAACTGAATTAATGCATTTGAAAGGCCTAACGTGATCTACAATACCGTCAAATATTTGTTGTCCAAATTTTGGCTCTAACCCAACCTAAACGTTCAACATAAGTACTAATTACGACTTAATAACAAAAATAGCAACATCTTGCTTGTCAAAAAAAATTAGTAATGGACACAGCTAACATTGATCTACGACATCTTCAACTTACACGTGTGCAAAAAATTACTATAAATGCAACATATGTCATCTGAAAACTTTTATAACTTCTAACAATAAACATCATATAGATAATGACGGGCTAAAAACTAACTAATTTTAACCGTGCATGCACAAGAAAATCTATGTATTGCAAAGCTCATACCTTGATCTTCAACTTCGTAGTTCACTTCGCACGGCAAATCCTACTCCAGAAGCTCCAGATGACTCCTTAAAGTGATGAAATCATGCCTAAAACAACAGAGAATACATACTTAGGGAATAAAAACATCATGCATGTGAACGAAACCAACAAAAACGGATAGATCTTACCTTGATCTATCTTTTCTTCAACTAAAACTTCTTCTGAATCGGCCTTCAAATCGCTCAAAATCGTGATCAAAGTAGCTATTTAAGCTGTCTTTCTCAATGTGCTAGGGTAGAGCAGAGAGAGCAGGGAGGAGAGGAGAGGAGTGAGCGGGCTGCTGCGCAAATGAGGCACATCCTGCCTTATAACGAGAGAAGTGTCGGCAGAACGGTACAAAAGCCACCAACCGACAGCCCGCGGTGCCGTCGCGTCGCGCGCAGCAGAAACAGGGCTGCCGCCTCATTTTGTGGCAGCAGGGAAGAGCACCGTTCCGTTGCGGCTCGCCAGCTACCGTCGAAATCTGTTACGCGGCGCCGGCCGCCTGGCCGTGTGGCGGCAGGGGTGGCCGCCTGCGCGAGCGTGCTGCTGGTTGCTTAAAAGAGAGTAGAGAGAGCCAGGGGAACGAGATCACGGGCAGCGTCGGCAGAAACGGCCAAACTTCACCAACCGGCAACCAGAGTGAGCGATCGCGTCGCCCGCAGCAGCAACAGTGGCTGCCGCCTCAGGGAGTGGCGGCCGGGCCCACATAACCCTGCTCCGTTCCGTTGCCAAACGCGCGCGGACGAAAAAAATCTGTTATGCACGGCCTGCCGCCTGGCCCGGTGGCGGCATGTCGCGCCGCCTGCGCCCGTGGCGGCAGGTGGCGTCGCGGCGATGGCGTGGCGCCGGTGGATCTCTTGTTCCGGGAAGCGGAGGAGGGAGCCGCGGTGCGAGGCGACGCCGCCGTGACAGCTTCCCCACCTCCTCGCACGGCCGCCAGGATCCGTTGGCTGCCGCCTCGCCCCGTAGTTCCCTGCCGCGTGGCGCACGGTTCTTCGCCACCGCGTACCGTAGTGCGCCGTCACCGGGATCCTTCTCCTCTTCGACGCCGCCGCCGGGGCCTTGCTCCTCTTCCCCGCCGGAGCACGATTAGACCTGGTAACTCACTACCTCGACCCTCTCTTTCATGATTTTGTCTTGTTCTTGCTGATTGTGATCATCAGCTTCAGCAATTAGTAATGCAGCAGGCTAACGTGTGTGATGAATACATTTTGTGGGGTAGCAGGCCACTGTGTATGATATTTTTGGTGCAATGTATGCTGAAATCTATGTGTGCAATGTACCCCCTCCGTCCGAAAATACTTGTCGAAGGAATGGATGTATGTAAACGCAATTTAGTTGTAGATACATCCATTTTCATCCATTTCTCTGACAAGTATTTCCGGAAGGAGGGAGTACAAGTTGTGTTATGTGCAAATTCAGAGGAGATTACTACCGTATCTAGCTCTGAATTACAGGAGATTAGCAACACTTATATATTCAATGTAAATACTCCGAATTAGAGTTGATTATGATCACTTTTTTTGTAAGCATCCTTATAGATATGTAGTATGTCCAAGAAGTTTTCATGTTAAAATCAATGGGGATGCTTACTTTTCTATTCGGAAGATTTCTGAACCCTCAGTTTTCTTTGTGGCAGGTGTGATGTATAACATATTAACATCAGACTTGGATATGAAAAGAATATGCAGTGTTGGACAAATAAACTTTTTCGGCTGTCGGATGCTACCATAGGTATGAGGTATCTATGTAATCGGATGCCCGTGCGTTGCACGGAACAATAAACTTAGACATATAGACATTGATCAAATGTTTTTGCTATATATTTTTTAATGGTGTATAAGATATGAGTTGCCCTACTTTTCAAGAGCTCATGAGTTGGGTATGACCATGAGACTCTAAAGACATGATACATGGTCTTCCACAGTTTATATTTTGCCTCATGTTGTATATCTATTGAAAAGTTTTATTCGTTACTATATTAATGACATAAATCTTTGCGTGATTAAAAATCGCAGTGTATTCCTTTGAAAGATGTGAGAAATATATTTGGATTGGGGAAGCGTGAAGCAGAAGCAATCATCTCATCATATAGAAAGGGGCTTGCAAAATCCTTTAATATTGATTTGACTGCAGCTCCTAGGAAAGCACTGTTTGTCCAAAATCTCTTCGAAGAGAGTTACAGTTTGATCCTGAACTTACTAGCAAGATGCATGAAGGTACCACCCTGACACTTGTTTTTTTATTGCATAATTAGTTTACAACATTGCTCTATATTAGCTACAATTTGATCTTGCTCCTGCTAGCAAGCTGCGTACCATACAAACTACAATTTGAAGGTTATAATCCTTTTTTTTAGATTGAAGGTTATATAATCCTGCAGTGTGAAAGTTACAATTATCTGTCCAAGTCTCTTCTGTGCATATGTTCTACTACGTCTTTCAGATCCTAAAACTGTGAAATTAGTTATTGATATACATATCGAATGGCATTACTGCGTCTGATGCTCCTATGTACTCTTTTCCATTTACTGTTTGCAAACTTTATTTTTGTTCTAACTATATGTATTTGGCTATCAAAACACTTTACCATTATCTGCTTTTGTTCCTGCAAAAGTTGTTTCGGTTGCATATAGTTGTGTCGTTTTCATGTTAATTGGAAATTTATAATAAAATGTGTTATTTGCTTGGAGAAAATTTGTGGGTTAATTCTCAAAAGGCGTTAAGTTTCCATCCATGTTGGTACTGATCAATCCGTCCCTCTAAAAACAGGGTAACCTCTTTTGTGTGCTTCATATAAGCTATTTACATGGCATCTTGCCAAGCACTGTTAACATGTTTTATTCAATGGGTGTGCAAAACATTGATATTCGTTGTGCCTTGAATTAATGATATATTTCTACTCATGGCTTTCTATTCCCGTTGCAAAGCACGGGCATTTAGCTAGTAGATGTGAATGGTCACAAGGTGGTGTACGTGGTAAGTAACCCAAAAGGAAATAAACAGTTTAGGTTTGTTGATTCAATCGTGTGCCAATCCAATGAGGATTGAGTGTAAAAAATGATAGATGTAAATGAGATGGCAGCGGCATATAGCCATCGATTGGCTATACTATTAAAACTCTCATAAAACTGTTTGACAAATAAAATACGCATTTGAAAATAAATTGAACCTATGCATGGAGATAAACTTGTTTGTCACTCATCATTGAGGTGATCGTACTAAAAAAGCAACACTTTGGGCGTGCTCAATTTTCTTAGATAATTTATAAATTCAGTCTTCAGTTGTGTTATATGAAGCGCTCATACTATACGAGTGTTTGTGCGGTTGGTGTTTCACACAATTTAGGAGGCATGCGTTTGTCTCTCTCACACACAGATAGCGCGGTAGGTGGTTTCCCCTGAAATTACGTCATAGTACCACCCGTCCATATGGTCTCTCTTTCTCTGCACACTGGCAGTCCCAGTTACACACATAGCCATTTCCGTTTGGCTGCTTCCAAGCTATCATATCTGCTGCTGCACTGACACTTCCCTTCCTCTGCGCTTTCTTTTCTCTCTGGTCTAGTAGTTCCAAGCAAACAAACTCGGCAACGCTCCCTCACACTCTTTCTCTCCCTCCGGATTCCAAGCCACCTTCTCCTCCAATTTTGAGAGAAGAACCGACAGACAAGATTATATCTTCCGCGAGCCACACTGGAAGCAGAGTCATCGGTCATTAGGTAAAACAAGTGAAGTCATACTTCGTTGATGAGGTTCTCGCCTGTCTCGCGGTTGATCGAGCATTCTGTCCAATTCTTGGCACAAGAATTCAGCAGTTACTGCCGTGTGTTGCGCCTAGCCATTTGCTGCTGCTGCTGTTGTTGTTGCTGCTGCTGCTGCTGCTGTTGCTGCTCTTTTTGCTCTCCTGCTGAGCAGCTTGTACTTGTAAATGAAAATGATGCTCCTGCTTAGGTTGTTGCTTGCGCAATCAAGCCTGCACTGATTATTCTTCAACAATATAGACAAATCCTTCACAATCAATCAATGGTACAGCGTCACCCGTGATTTTCTTAGTGTACTTTGCTCTTTTTGTCCTGAATCATCATATAACTCTTTCTGATTGTTGTAAGCAGAAAGTGTTCGAGAAAAAAAGCGTGTCAGCAGAAACATGTTTTATAATGCCGTAACAATTAGGGGCCATAAAAAGATCATTGCACTAGTAGTTCCTTTCATTTGCTAGAAATAAACATTTGAAACCGCAATATCTGTATATCTGACTGAAGACCTAACTTACTAATCCTGTGAATGACCTGTAGTGCAGTGGCGTCAGCTGTGTTCTCAATGAGGACGAAGACTTCATGGCGCAAACGTGGAAACCAATTAACATCCAGTTGATGCAGCATAAATTCTATGGTGTTGCAAGCAAAAATGGTAACATAATGGGAATATATTTCATTTCTTTGTTCCACCTGTTCAATTTTTGCATCATGTGATCACTGAATTTCGTACGTACGTATTTTCAGATCGTGTACTCATCTAAAAGCTCAAAGGGAACGCTGTTTCCTGTACGATCAATGCTTGTCTTCTTCATTGCACTATTTGGTTTCTATGTCTGCTACTTCTCCTTCACTCAAATAGCCTTAGAAAATGAAGAAGGAGAAATGAACGGAGCAGAAGAACGAACAAACATTCTATGCAAAAGACCTTCAGAAATTCCATATGATCAGATGCAGTATGTGCACTTTCCAAGACCTATGAGTTACGACAGGTAACTTTTGTCGTAAAACTTCCTCTGTACACAGACAGATTGCCTCTCTTCTGTACTTGACCCTGTTTTTGTAGAGCAATGCAGTGCATATTTACATGTCGCGTTTTCTGTTTTTGACTCTTTCTGATCCATTCATGTTGCTAAAATCGTAGGGGAGAATGCGCATGTACCCCGGTCCGTTTCTTCGTCATTGTATCTATGCAAAGATCAGGCAGCGGGTGGTTTGAGACTCTGCTCAACAGCCACCCCAATGTGAGCTCAAATGGTGAAATCTTCTCGGTGAGGGAGCGCAGAGAGGATATCGTGTCAACCTTGTGGACTCTTGACAAGCTGTATGATTTGGATTGGCGCACCAGCGCAGCAAAAAATGAATGCACGGCTGCATTTGGATTGAAGTGGATGCTAAATCAGGTACGCCATCATTCAGCTATTTAACAGCTATCTATACTGTTGTTGCTATTACACCGACAAAGTTTAGGTGCAAATATATATATATATATAGATTGCCGAGCAAAAGTATTTTTAGGTAGAATGATTGTAATAGAGTATAAAAATAGGGAGTTTATGAATCGGTGCGTGCATGTGTTTGCAGGGCCTTATGGATTATCCTGATGAGATTGTGGATTATTTGATAAAAAAGGGTGTGATGGTGATATTTCTCTTCAGGAGGAATACATTAAGGAGGCTTGTCTCTGTGTTGGCTAACGACTATGACAGGAAAACGAAGCAGTTGAACGGCACCCACAAAGCTCATGTTCACTCACAAGAGGAGGTGACTCTCTCACATGCAGTCTTCTCAGATCCGATGCCCATCCATCTGTTCTTGTTGCCTAGTAGAGTGAAAAAAGAGAGTAAAGCTCTTGCCGAATATGTGGTGTGCATGCAGGCTGAGATCCTAGCGAGGTTCAAGCCGGATTTGGACGTGTCATCTCTGATCCCAAGCATGAGAAGCGCGGAGCAGTCCATGGACGCCTGCCTGCGCCGCTTCCGCGCCACGCGCCACATGATCCTCTACTACGAGGACGTAATCCGCGACGACAATGTAAGCTCCCCGGCCATATCAATCATATCATATCATATCATCCATCGGGGTAAGCGGGTAACTAAGCATTGTTGCTGGAATGGTTTGGTTTGCAGGCGCTGTCTCGGGTGCAGGAGTTCCTGGGACTCCCGGTGAGGAGTCTGTCCAGCAGGCACGTCAAGATCCACACCAGCCCACTCCCGGACCTGGTGGACAACTGGGAGGACGTGAGACGCACGCTCAAGCCCACGGAGTTTGCTCGTTTACTTGACGGCTGAAGACTAGACTATGTCGATTCATCTGTTTTTGTTCCGGCAGGCCCTCGTGTTTTCTTTTCTTGGGACTGCACAATGGGATTGGAACTTTTTTTTTTTTGGAGGGGAAATGGGATTGGAATTTGTTCAGCTGTTTTCCTCCTCAAAGGTTGCTTTTCGGAGTGCCCAGATAATAGAACATGAGACTGAATAACTTTGCTTTTGGGAGTGCCCAGATAATAAAGTACTGCCTTCATCTTGTCTTATCAGTCCCATCGTAATTTGGGTCAAAGTTTGATCATATATTTGACTAGCAAAATGTTAATACATGTCATTCTATTGTTGAATTTGTATTTAAATATAGTTTCAAATGATACTATTTTTACTATGCATACTTATATTTTGTTAGGTAAAATCGTAATCAAAATATGATCCAAAATACAAGGAGACTAATAAGCCAGGAGGCAAATGTCAAAAGTCAAAACAATTGATTATTTCAGGAATGAATGATACAAGCAAAAAATGACATGCACATATTCTCATCTACAGGTAACTAGTAGAACGTCCGTGCATAATGCATATATAAATGAATCGAACAAATGATAGTAGAACGTCCATGCATTGCTACAGGGGTATAATGCATATATAAATGAATCAGACAAATGATTAAGATCATCTTCAAGATCGAAGTTTATTTCTCCCTCATGCATTGCTACAGGGGTATAATGCATATATAAATGAATCAGACAAATGATTAAGATCATCTTCAAGATCGAAGTTTATTTCTCCCTCATACGTTTGGGCGTGTTCGGACAGTAAACAGTCGCCAACCATTCGGACAGCCAGGTCTCCCCTAAATCCAAACCATATGTGAGGAGAAATATCGTACTGCGGACTATCTGCCATGTTATCTCCTACACCCGGGCCCAAAACAAAAACATCACGACAAACCCTTCACTTTTCCTGATGGACCCTCCCTTCCCCACTTGATTTCCCGCCGTAGCGGGACATTTCTCGCTGGAGCCCTCTCCTTTAAAACCGAATGCGCCCACCTCACCTTCACCGTGTGTTACAACAGGGACTTTTTTTTCATATTTACAATATAATAGAGTGGGTCAAACTAACACATATTATTGCCACAAAACAACAAATACCTAGAGATCATTTTCAATAGGTTCATTCAACTTTGCAAATGCACGCAGTCAATGTCATCTTTTTTAGGATTTATAATTGTGTCGCAACATGTGACAATATTTTTCTCCCATTTCTCGTATCTCGCATCTATTTAGAGTTTGCAACATCTTTAGTTCAACATGTCAATGTCATGATGAAAAGACATCATATGCTCCTTGAATTCTGCAACTGAGGAAACGAGAAAAAACACATATGCACACTGACGTAGGGGGAGTGGTAAGTTGAACATATTACTAGTCACCAATAAGCTCTACCTCCAGCCAACACGCCATTCATTGCTAGAAGGGATACTTGTCATTCTTTCATTCCCGTCCTCCCCTACATCTTCTACTCCGAGCCTCTTCAACAACCCGTTCCGTTGGCGCCAACCAGCACCATGTCAACATCAGTGCGTTCGTCAGCAATGCCTCATCTTCTTCTTCCGCTTCCTTGTCAGGTTTAGTTCTCGTTCCTACTTATTTCCTAGAATACCTTTTCTTTCTTTTTTCACTTTATTTTTATGAAACACTCTTTCCTTCTCCTACACTATGGATCACTTGGCCACTTTAGTTCTTTTTTCTTCTTATTCTTGGAACACACTTCCTTTCTAATATGGCATGAACCACCTGGCCAATGTCGTGTTGTATTGTCCTCGCCCATGAATGTTTCAGCAATCTTCAACATATGGACACCCTACAGAGCATGGTTGTCATCCATCTTGGTGAAAGCATGGTCGCCCATGTCACAAGCGCATGGTGGTCATTGTCCATGTTGGCAAGCGATTCTCGGCCGAAGCCCGTTGACCATTCTTTCTCGCGAGCATTTTCCAAATGATTCAGCATGATTAGTGATACGTCCATTTTGCATCATGCTTTTATATCAATATTTATTGCATTATGGGTTGTTATTACACATTATATATCAATACTTATGGCTATTGTCTCTTATTTTACAAGGTTTACCATGAAGAGGGGGAATGCTGGCAGCTGGAATTCTGGCTGGAAAAGGAGCAAACATTGGAAACCTATTCTGCACAGCTCCAAAAATCTTGAAACTCCACGGAACTTATTTTTGGAAATAATAAGAATTATTGAGCAAAAGAAACACCAGAGGGGGCCCACACCCTGGCTAGGAGGGTGGGGCGCGCCCACCCCTACTGGGCGCGCCCCCTGTCTCCTGGGCCTCCTGGTGGCCCTCCGATGTCCATCTTCTGCTATATGAAGGCTTTTACTCTGGAAAAAATCAGAGGCAAGCTTACGGGACGAAACTCCGCCGCCACGAGGCGGAACCTTGGCGGAACCAATCTAGAGCTCCGGCAGAGCTGTTCTACCGGGGAAACTTCCCTCCGGGAAGGGGAAATCATCACCATCGTCATCACCAACGATCCTCTCATCGGGAGGGGGTCAATCTCCATCAACATATTCACCAGCACCATCTCCTATCAAAACCCTAGTTCATCTCTTGTATCCAATCTTGTATCAAAACCACAAATTGGTACCTATGGGTTGCTAGTAGTGTTGATTACTCCTTGTAGTTGATGCTAATTGGTTTACTTGGTAGAAGATCATATGTTCAGATCCTTAATGCATATTATTAATCCTCTAATTATGAATATGAATATGCTTTGTGAGTAGTTACGTTTGTTCCTGCTATTAGTAGTCATGTGAATTTGGTATCCATTCGATATTTTGATGAGATGTATGTTGTCTTTCCTCTAGTGGTGTTATGTGAACGTCGACTACATGACACTTCACCATTATTTGGGCCTAGAGGAAGGCATTGGGAAGTAATAAGTAGATGATGGGTTGCTAGAGTGACAGAAGCTTAAACCCTAGTTTATGCGTTGCTTCGTAAGGGGCTGATTTGGATCCATATGTCTAATGTTGTGGTTAGGTTTACCTTAATACTTCTTTTGTAGTTGCGGATGCTTGCAATAGGGGTTAATCATAAGTGGGATGCTTGTCCAAGTAAGGGCAGTACCCAAGCACTGGTCCACCCACATATCAAATTATCAAAGTACCGAACGCGAATCATATGAGCGTGATGAAAACTAGCTTGATGATAATTCCCATCTGTCCTCGGGAGCTCTTTTCTCATTATAAGAAATTTTCCAGGCTTGTCCTTTGCTACAAAAAAGGATTGGGCCACCTTTCTGCACTTTATTTACTTTCATTGATTGTTACTCGTTACAATTTATCTTATCACAAAACTATTTGTTACCTACAATTTCCGTGCTTGCAGAGAAAACCTTACTGAAAACCGCTTGTCATTTCCTTATGCTCCTCGTTGGGTTCGACACTCTTACTTATCGAAAGGACTATGATAGATCCCCTATACTTGTGGGTCATCAAGACTCTTTTCTGGCGTCGTTGCCGGGGAGCGTAGCGCTTTTGGTGAGTGGAACTTGGTAAGGAAACATTTATATAGTGTGCTAAAAAATTTTGTCACTTATTACTATGGAAACTAATCCTTTGAGGGGCTTGTTCGGGGTATCTTCACCCCAACCAGAAGAGCAAAGAGTTGCTCCTCAACCTACTGAAAATATTTACTTTGAGATTCCTTCGGGTATGATAGAGAAAGTGCTAGCTAATCCCTTTGCAGGAGATGGAACATTGCATCCCGATTTACACCTTATCTTTGTGGATGAAGTTTGTGGATTATTTAAGCTTGCAGGTATTCCCAATGATGTTTTCAAAAGGAAGGTCTTCCCTTTATCTTGAAGGAAGATGCATTGACATGGTATAGGCTATGTGATGATACGGGATCTTGGAATTATAAACGATTGAAGTTGGAATTTCACCAGAAGTTCTATCCTATGCATCTTGTTCATCGTGATCGTAATTACATATATAATTTCTGGCCTCGCGAAGGAGAAAGCATCGCTCAAGCTTGGGGGAGGCTTAAGTCAATGTTATATTCATGCCCCAATCATGACCTCTCCAGAGAAATGATTATTCAAAAAAATTATGCTCGGCTTTCTCTCAATGATCGCAACATGCTTGATACTTCCTGTGCTGGTTCTTATATGCTGAAGACTATTGAATTCAAATGGGACTTATTGGAAAGAATTAAACGCAACTCTAAAGATTGGGGTTCCGACGATGGTAAGGAGTCAGGTATGACACGTAAGTTTGATTTGTGTTAAATCTTTTATGAATACTGATGCTTTTCGTGGATTTAGCGCTAAGTATGGACTTGACTCTGAGATAGTAGCTTCTTTCTGTGAATCTTTTGCTACTCATGTTGATCTCCCTAAGGAGAAGTGGTTTAAATATAACCCTCCCATTGAAGTAAAAGTAGTTTAACCTATTATAGTCGAAGAAAAGACTGTCACTTATAGTGATCATATTGTTCCTACTACTTATGTTGAGAAACCTTCTTTTCCTGTTAGGATAAAGTATCATGCTAAAACTTCGACTGTTGTTCGTAAGAGTAATACTAGGACTTATACACCTCCTGAGCAAATTAAAGTTGAACCTAGTATTGCTATGGTTAAAGATCTCTTGGATGATAATTTAGATGGGCACGTTATTTATTTCTGTGGTGAGACTGCTAATATTGCTAGACCAGATGCTAAGATACATAGACCTGTTGTAGGCATGCCTGTTATTTCTGTCAAAATAGGAGATCATTATTATCATGGCTTATGTGATATGGGTGCTAGTGCTAGTGCAATACCCTATGACTTATATAAAGAAATTATGCATGATATTGCACCCCCTGAAATGGAAGATATAGATGTTACTATTAAGCTTGCCAATAGAGATACTATTAAGCCATTTGGGATTGTTAGAGATGTTGAAGTCTTGTGTGGGAAGGTTAAATATCCTGCTGATTTTCTTGTTCTTAGT